AGTCATTGAAACAGTCCCTGAAAATGCAAATACTCAGTGCTTTTTTATTTTCTTCAATTTGACAGGCAATTCAACCGACTACAGGAGAAGTAATTTTTGACAGTTTTCAGGACTCTGCATCTCGCTTAGAATTAGAGAGTCGGGTTTTGCGCCTGCAGCCTGTTGAAATAATACTTCCATCTAACTTGTCAGATCAGTCTGAAAAGCTCCTCAACAGTATAACTTCCATGAGGTATGTTCTGTGAGGCTTTTGTTGTCTGGGCTTCTTTCCTGTTTCCTTTTGTTATGGTTACAGCATAGCTATTGATAGGACTAGGTCCAGAAGGAAGCATGAATGTGTAGTTCTGCAGAGGCCTGTTTCAGACTGGCTGTAGTTTGCTGCTAGGTTGAAAATTCCCCAGATCCCACTGAGATCTGGGCAGTCCTTCCTTAAATTGTTTTTAGACTGAAATTCATGACTTCTGTTTTGGATCTATGAAAGGCTTGTGCATCTAAACATCTGTTGTTTTCATTTAGAGTGTCTTGCTCCCACACTCCCAGTGATGTGATCTGTTGGATTTATTTCACAGTTCATGCACTTATCTTTGGGATCTGAAAGTGATGTTCTGTGGCTGTTTTTCCCGTTTTCCATAATCTTTAAGATTTCCAAAAGGCACAAAACTTTCTCTGTTAATATAGATAGGTATAGAAAACCTTTGTGACATTCTGTTTGTCTTATCACACTATCCTGAACTTTTAAGTGTTGTGGCTGATCATCTGTTTGTATCTTCGGTTCTCTTTGTGTCTTTTGAGGGTAAACTGGGTATGTCTTTTCTGTATCATTTTTACTGTGGAATAAAGACAGAATAGGATATAATTTGTAGGATTATAGATGAAGGATAAAGCAATCCTGTGACCATACCTGATGAACTTACAAAATCTTGTAGATGTAATTTTTGTGAGAAAATCCAGTTTTTCACTTTTTTTTTTTTTTTTAACCATGCAGCTCTGCACTGTAGAGGACGAGCTCAGAGCCTGGCGTTTCCATTTTGAATGAACTAGTCAGAAAGCACAGTGGTTTTGTTTTATGTGGTAATAGAATGGGAGCTAAAGAAAGACAAAGGAAATTGAATTACACAGGCAAAATTTTTTTTTGGAGGAAAGAAACTAGTATCATCACTTCCCATGTTGTAAGGACAGACAAATGTGTCACAGTCATCTGGATGGTAGCCACCTGACACAGGCAACTTGATGTCTTGACTACCTTACCTGAACTCGAAAAAGTCATCGTCGCACAGCTTCCCCTCGAATGCTCTACAGACATTCCTTTCCCTGTCTGCCAGTGCACTCCTCCTTCATCCCTTTTTATAGAAAACAAACAAAAAAAAGGTGACATGAAGTTGTGGGTAGGCAGTCATCTCACTAGGAAAAGCTGGTTTTGTGGCACATTATAGGAGCTTGCACAGATGTTCCTGTACTCAGCTGTTGTGCTTTCAAGGGCACGTGTATATGAAAGCAAAGACTGAGAGGAGGGACTGAAAATATCTGATTTGGTGTTAGGAAGTGGTGTCTTCATCACTCAGTGGTGTTGTGATGCTTACACTGGTAGTGAGGTGTGTTTTTGTCACACTAGGCTCTAATTAGGTTTACTAAGCAGGGAATATCAATGTGTTTCTTGCCGTAAAAAGGCTTATTAAGACTTGGGCAGATAATAAAAGATTAGGAGGTAACAAACCTTTACCAGTTGCCAGCAGCTGTACATTTTTTGCCTTGTTGATCCTTTTACTTTGATAACTTTCTCTTTTGCAAAGCAGTTCTGTAGGACTATGTCCAAAACATTTCTAAATATGCCATGATGAAGATTAACAATTCTTATTTTTATTTGTTTTCATTTCTTTTGTTGCTGGTGTTGTGCACTGACCGTTTTGTGGAAGCCAAAGAAAGGTAAAAAGGTGTAATAAACTGACAAAGGAAGCACATTTTCAGAAACAAGTGTTTTAGTTGCTCATTAAGGTTAATTCTGATGCAGGTTTGAGAAAGTGATTTTTTTGTTGTTTTTTGTTTGTGCGCACTTGAGGATATTAACTAATTTCTCATTTCTTTTAGAAACAAAAAATACCACCTATTAGCTGATTTTATGAACAGATGTTAGTTCGTAGGTTTTTTTGCCCATTTCCAGTAATGTATTAGGCAGGTCTTCATACATGGGAATGGTGAAAATAAAACACATTACTTCAGTATCCTTCAGTAACCTTATTTGAAAACCAGTTTCTCATGGATTTAACCACTAGAGGGCCCTGAAGTATAGAATATTAATTTAAGTGGTTCCAATCTGCTTCTTTCTTAGGCTTTTAACAAGGCTTCAGATTTTATATAATTGCTTTTATACAGGCAGTAATTTTATCTTAGTGTATATAGAGTGGTCTAAAGTATTCAGTTTTGGTTGTTGTGCATTACCTGGTAATTTCATTCTTTGGCTCCTCTTCTCTAATAACTCCTAGCGGGAATCATCTCTTCCCTGGGAAAGCTTTAATTTCTATAATTTTTTTAAGACCTTTCTGACTAAAACCACGGGAACTAGATCTTGTATTTCAACAATCCTCCTCGTCTCTTTGTGTATTTATAATTCTGGAGAAACCCACTCAATTTATAGACATAGGGAACAGATTGCAAGAGAAAAATAGTCTCAGGCGCTGTACAGCTTGGAGTGGTTCAGGTCAGAGAAGAGAAGATTCTTTCTGCTCACTGCAAGCCCAGGTCATTTAAGAGTTACACCAGGGATTGTCTGAGTAACTCAGAGGGAGGATTTGGTTTTGTATGTTGTGTTTTAGAACTTTTTACTGACTGAGCAAGGTCATGTGGCAATGGTCTGTGCCGCCCCAAGGAATGTGGTTGTGGTGATTTAAAAAAAAAAAAGAGTCCCAATAAACCACTGCAGCTTAAGGAGAGTAGTCAGAGTCTGGTTCAATGCCTGGTCATATTGGCAAGAGTTCATAGTATGTGTTTTCCTTCAATTTATCTCTCTCTCTTTTTTTTTTTAATATACCAAGACCAAATGTGAATATTATCTACTGGTGCACATGCCTCTTTGTCTTTATTATAAAAAAATAAAACATACATAACATACGTATTTCCTCCTTATGGAATGCTGAGGTTCCTTCTTCATATTCTCTTCCTGTTGCCACCACAGTTATGCCTGGGCTCAGCTGTGCCATTCACACTATTTACTGGTGCTTCTGTTGTGGGACAGTGTGGATATCTTCAAAGCCAGGTTTACATCAAAGGAATACCCATCACAGAAGGAAGAAACAGCTGAATGTCAGGGTGTTGGTGTTGTAAATTTGGTATTAACAGAAACAAGAGGCAGAAGTAAGTGACCAGAAAGGTTGTGGTGTTTTAATCTGCTTGGCAATCACAAGGAGCTGCTACTTAAGCCTAAGGAGTACTTCATTATGGTAGAAATTATTTCTGTGGATTAATGTAAAATGATCATGAAGAGTTTTGAATCAGAAAAGAAAGTGCAAATAAAACACACAATGGGAAGTGACCTCATGACTTTTTAAGTTCATGCAGTACAGTGATAGTGCAGAGTTTGCTTATCCTGCAGGTAAGTGGAGCAGATAGTTTCACAGGTTTGTATGTGGCTGTAAACAGGTTCTGGCAATAGGGAGAATGAAGCAAATTTTATAGTGAGGTAATAAATGACTGAAACAGCAGCAGAGCAGTTGTGTGAGCTGTTGAAGAGCAGCAGTTTGAGCTGTGCTCCAGAAAGCAGTTTGCAATGTAAATAGAAGATTTGGTCCTGGTTTTGGAGTTCTCCATGTCTACGTTGGGCATGGACATTAATAAGCAGTGAGCAAAACTCAATGTGACTGTAGTAAGGTAATTGTATGATTTGTTCATACAGTCGAATTTTAATTCAGTTAGTGTGAAGTTAGTTCAGCTAAATTGCATGCTTGGTGTGGGGGAATCCTAGCCTTAATCAGTATGTATTTTACCACTGATTTAAGTGAAGTTCAGCTCATACATGTTTTTGTAGTGAGTTTGCTTAACCATTTGGATTAAACTCTGATGGTTGCCAGCCTCAGTAAGCTTTGAAAAATAATTTAACTTTTCCTGTAAATTTGTCTTACAAGTTAGAAACTTTCCTCTTTGGTAATTTAAAACTCCAGGAAACAAATGATTTTAAATGTATGGCATAGTTTCATGTTTATTTGCTTCTATCATGTTGCTATTTCAGGTGGTAAATGAAATGCTTCTATTGCCAATGATTTATGTCCATAAAAATTAATAACTAGAAGGTACTATTCAAGGACAGATTTAATGACTAGAAAGTGCTATTCAAGGGCGCTGAACTGTAGGTCAGTTTTAGTGAAGAGCCTTCCTTCAAAAGAAAATCATAAGTTAAAAGTAGGTTACAGAAACTGGGTCAGAACAAAATGTTCTGGTGGGTACAGTTCTGTTCCTGAACCATTAGTAACATCTGTTTGCAAGTGCTGGCCCAGCTGCAGGAAAATCTTTTTAACACTTAGCTTCCTTCTTTATACAAAACCAAGAAAACATTCTTGCCTTCTAAAAATGTGTATGTTTTTACAGGAGAACACTGTTTGGCACTCCAGACTCAGCACCCATCCTCCTTAACACAATGGTCGCTTTAAAAGTTGGCCTGTACTGGTCTCTCTGAAATTGTTTTTGAGGCTCCTTTCCCTTTTGTTATCATTGTTTTCACATGCCCCTTTTTTATTTCATAAAAAAATTCCAGCCCATCTTAAGAGCACCCCAGTGCGCCTATGCATAATTTTTTCCATTTGGCCTTTTTATGTAATGTTTTATTCTGCAGCAGTCTTTGACACCATGTAAAACCACACTGATCACAAGTACTTCAAAGCAGCATTTCACCCAAGGCTGCATCATTCTGCGTTTGTTACATCTTGTTTGATGTCTAGCCAACAATCTAAACCCAGGACGATACGATAACTAACCTCGTGTCTGTGCCCACAGACATTTCACTTTATTCTGTTTGCAGAGTGTAATATCTTCTTCCTGTTAGCTTGGGCCTGTCATCTGAGAGTCAGTTTTGACACAACCTCCATCATGCACTGTTTTTTTGAGGCTACAGGGAGGTCAGTTACTTGTTCCCCTGTAATGTGTCTTAAGATTTTTTTCCTTCTGATTATGGCACTCAGGTTTTTGTTTTCACTTGAGTACTGCAAGGCTGTCGCTGGCTTGGGAGTTTGCTCCCTGTAATTCCCT